TCTTGTTAGGTCTATTTTGTCCACTGATCATGGTTGAGGTTGCACCTATCGTGTGGGGAAATTTGTACACCTCTACAAAGTTTTATTAAATCTATTCGAATAGCCACGTCCTTGGAATGGGCAAATGCTAGGATGGAATACTATGATTAGCTTTACTTTTATGTGTAATGAAATTGGTAATTAATTGATGATTAACCTGGGCACTAGTGGGAATGGCAATACTCTGCTAGGACTCACCCTTAAATTATAATCACCACTACACTTCTATTTCTACCCATGGTTGGGACTTGTTGAGTACATATGTACTCACCCGTTGTCAACTCACAGACCTCGGCACAGAAGAAAACTATGACTTTGAAGATGAAGCGTACCATGAGGAATAGGATTCCCGTTAGGAGATTCGATCATAGGAATGTGACATCGAGGCTAGGGTTTTGTCCGCGCTCTAGCTTCCTGTGGAATCGGATGCCGTTTTGCTGTATAATAATCCCGCTTTAGAGACCATCAATAATGTCGTTTCATGGCCGTAGCTTTCCGCCAACTCTGTAGCCTATGACAATGCCCTTCGGGCCACTGTTGTAGAGCTTATTTTAGATATCAATAAAGCTCATAACCTTTTATTTTTTATCTGTGTACCATCCCTGTGATTAGTGCGTATTTGTGCGTGATCCTGGCGCAAATACGGAAGCACTAAGGACTCTCAAATTGAGGGGCCGATAGCTGGCTTGAGCAAGCTTACCTTGTTAGCGCTAGCGAGCCAAATTTGTTTGCCCATGGAAGTAAGGAAAAAGCTTGTTAGCTCAGGTCCCAAGAAAGCCTTACTAAGCAACCAAACGACCATGTCTCTTTGGTTTTGACCCAGCAAGGCCATATAGTACTCATCAAGGGAACCAAACATATCCTGAATTATTCTTAGTTCAAGCAGAGTCAAAACATGCAAATGAAATGTTTTTATGATTAAAAGATATAGCTAGGGTCCAATGAGATATGCTCTATATCCGAAGGACGATGTACTCACTCATGTTTAAAGATATGATAGTTATATGATACTATTTTTTTATTTTCTCTACCTTAAGGATAGTATTAGTATACCTAATGATGCATTCCATATCTTAAAGATATCATTGGTATAATTGCAAACTTGTCATTTATATTAAAGATATCATCAATATAGCTACAACATGATTTTCTATCTTAAGGCTATAAATAGTAGCCACAAAGTATTTGATACTACATTAAATATACCAATAGTATAGCCACACATTTCTATATAAGGAGGTCCACTTTGGGTTCACTCCATCATCAACATCGTGATACAAACAATCCAGTATCAAAGGTTTGCAAGGTCTTCCTCAAAGGAAGGAATTGGAAGTTGCAGGAGAGTATGATGGACACTGTTGCTCCACATGTACTCATAGTTGATGACACCTTTGTTGATCGCATTGTGGCATCTCGAGTCTTAAAGAGTTGTAACATTCAAGGTACAATGGTTTGAGTTTTCTATGCTTTCACTCAATTTCTTTGATTTAAAATTTTCCATTTTAAATAGTATTATTATTTTGTAGTGACAATTGTGGAGGGCCCAAAGCAAGCCTTGGATTTTCTAGATGTGGTATATATATCAGTAGCTTATATAACTAATATTAATAGGAATGCACATAATTTAGTTCATTTGGTTACATACTATGTTTGACATGTTTTCAACATAACATTTGTATATAGACCATTGATTATCATTCGAAAACAAAGGAAAGGGAGTTTACTACTGACCAAACTACATTGAGTATGTGTACTTCACGCGTGCGTATGAGACACATTCCCAAAAGTGAATGATGCACTTGGTAGTAACAAGCGGTGCATATTTATTAATCATTATCATTCATTGAAATTTAAGTGAAGATGAAGATGTTATTGCATAAACTAGAAGTTCTCGCATGACAGGGAAAGGTTTCACAATAGCTAACGAACCAAATGACAACATAAATCATGATAATAAATATGAGCTCATGAGCACTGGAATGTTCATTAGTTTGCTTGATCTAAATGAAGCTCTTCTACAACCTTGAGACTTAAACAATCTGTATGTTCCAAATTCAGAGATTTCATATCATGTGTAGACACAGGTAGGAACTTGGCATATGGATCAACAAGTTCTTGGTAATGGAAGAAAAAACATTAAAGACTCACCTTTGTATCTGCATGGACGGGATTAACAAGGACATGCTTCCGAGTTGGACACGTGATCAAAAGTTAAGTCCTATTATACTCCGCCACATAAAGCCATCAATTTGGTTAACATAGCAAATCAAAATAAATTACATGACAAGAAAAGAAGCTTAGTAGTACTGGATCCTCCACCAATTTGGAAATGAGCACTACCGGATTCAGGAGCTTTGCCGAGTACAAGAAAAGAGCGGCCGTAGGATTGGTTTTGCAAAGGACAACAAGATCATAGAGGTTTATCTACCATCACACTCAAGGAGTAAAAGAAAAGTCGTGTAGCTTTTCAAGTACTTTTTTTTGCAAAGTGTTCGTCTTTTTCTCTAAAGACTTTGACCGCGTGGTGATCGGTGCACATTCTCTTACCCCGTCGCCTCCGACGGCCGGAGCAGGTGTGCCATGGCGGGTGGAGCCAACACGGCGCTATGCAACCCCTTCGCATGCACGCAGAGGAGGGCGATAGATGGAAAAGGGACTTACAGTGGAGAAAACGCAGAGGAAAGCTCATGATATAGGATTATGCGATGGTAGTGCAAAGGGCGATTTCTTTCCCAGCCACGGTTCAAACAATCATGAAAGAATGAAATCGTTTGGGTGGAATGAAAGTCTGATTTTAAGCCGAAACAAAGAGGCCTATAGCATAAGCAACCACATGCGCCATGCATCTTGTTTTATACAAGGCAAATGTAGTTTTTAACATAAAGAAAATGCTTCCTCCAATAGAAAATATAAGTTCCTTGTAACATTGACAACAATTTGATGATACCTGTCAAACACATTATTTTAAATTCAAATAATTATAATTATAGTGAAATTATATATACTACCAATCTATGTAAAATTAATGGTCCATGCTTGCCATTGCCACGAGAAATTGCTTAATAATTATAGGCTTTAACGATCACTGCACTGCATGTAAAAGGTGCTCGTTGATGAGTCCAACACCATGTCCATACAACCTCTCTAGATCCCTTTGTGAAATCCGTTTTGGCGTTTTATAGGAAAGCAACGCCTCCAACAGCTCCTCGCCATCTCAATCTCCAATTTTTCCTGTCTTCTATTTCCGGTTCTCCGCTAGGCAAAAGAAGCGAGCGCCCCTTGCTTACCATACCGTTTCTAGCCCGCAATCCTGCCTTCTCCCATGCGCTTTTGTGACCGGATCGTGCCCAAAAAGGAATAACGGGGCACTTTCAAACATGGAGATCGGCTAATTTATACAAAAGCTTCTGGAGTACTCTAGCTTTTTTATGGGCTATTTATTTTGGAGAATAGCTAAATCCCGATTTTTAGAATATATTTTTTGACGGTTGGAGTTGCTGTAATATAGGAGTACTATAATAATAATAACATAGGTTGCTAGTTTAACTCTCACTCAACTTAAACCTTTATATCTCTATTTGAAAAGCCATTCCATGAATTCTCTTTATATATGTCGCGTCTACAACATGCTCTTGAAGTTTCATTCTCAAAATTTTTTTAATACCTATAATTTTTTCTTACGTGAAAACAACCAATTAAACGAACATGTTGTAACATTTTGTAACGTTTAAATGGGGTACATGGAGAACGACGGACAACGGTAAATAAAACTGTTATATAAACGGAAATGCTAAAGGACAACCATGTGTTTTTGTCTCTCCCGGCACACGGTTTTCTGATCATCCGATCATTCGGTCTGTTCATAGTTGACCGTCTAATCCCCACCGATTTAGCTATCTGTTTTTTTCCTTGTCGCTGACCAGCTGTTCCGCATGTCTTCTCTCATTTTATTTCATCGTCTCCCCCCTGACAACAGCGACCATAGAAAAAATTTGTCTCATTTTATAATATATTATTTATTTTTATTCTTGTCTAACTATAGAAAAAAATTATAACTTGTTAATTGTCTTTACGTCAATATTTATATTATTTTTTGTCCTTGCCTAACTATAGAAAAAAAAATTGTGATTTGTTAATTGTCATTGTGTCATATATACAGAAAAAATTTGACTAGCTATAGAAAAAAAATTGTTACTTGTTAATTGTCTTTGTGTCAACATATATTAGATTTCGTTTGGTTTGTATAGTTTTGTGTATCGATTTTTTTTATAACCTGATTCAAAAATTGCAGCTACAATTTTATCATAAAATATATACAATAAGGATGGTGGCCGTTGGATTTCGATCAAATGGTGGTAAAATTCGTGTGCTACTATTATCTAAAGCAACTGAATTTGTTTCTTATAGGAATCGTGTTTTTTACATGGATCTAACAACGGTGTGCTAGTTGGTCATCAGACACATGAATATAATATAGATATCCTCTATATAAAAGGACAGCCAAATTTTCGGAAAAACAAAGAGCATCGAAATCGTCGTCTCACAAGACGTAGCAACGCGCCACGTGTCCTAGCATCACGCCTGAAAGTTTGTCCTCACAAGTCACGCCGCAGCAGGCATCCACCGGCTAGCAGCCTTCCTTGCTGGTCCTCGGAGCACGACCAACCCGGGCCCCATTCGCGTCTCCTCCTCACGCACTCGTCGACTCGCCCCCCAAAACCCCAACCGCCTCGTCCGGCGTCGGCGTCGCGCTCCTCCTCCTCCACGCCGTCGACGCCGCCGGAGGTCGGTCGACGGCCTGAGAGGTGAGTGCGTGCGCTCGCGCGCTAGCGACGGTCGACGTCTCTCGTCTCCCGATTCGGTTTCTGTGGAGTTTTGTTGCTTTTGAATGCTGATTTTGCTCTTGTGGTTTTGTGTGTGGCCCTGGTGGCGAGGTACAGGACGATCGGGGGTGTGCGGGCATGGATTCCTACGCGGCGACGGCGAGGCTCGACGTCGCGCGGCAGCCGAGGCTGCCAGTGCTAGGGCCCGCGGCGGGGCGCGTCGGCCGCGCGTGCCCGCCGCAGCGGGCCGACCTCCTCCGCGGCCTTCCTCCCGCCCCTCCTCGCGGCTGCGTCGGGGACACGCAACGCGCTGGTGGCCTGCGGGAGCACGGGGTGGTGGGCGCGGCTGCGGCTTCTGGAGAGAATGCGGCCGCCATCGCAGCTGGGTCTGTCGGCGACGCTGCGGCTGGGGTTGCCGCCGCTGTGGTGGCACGGGAAGAGACGGGAGGCAGCGAGGTGGGGAGCAAGAGGTGGTTGCCGCTTGCGGCCGCGCACCCGCCGCCCAAGCGGAGGGCGGTCTCCGTGAGGAGGAGATTCCCGCCCCACTGCGGACGTAACGTGGCTGCTCCGCTCGCCACCGCCAACGCTGGTTCACGGTTCGGAGATGCTGGTGCCGACGTCTGTTCTGCTGTGTTGGACTTGGAGAAGACGGCTCCTCCTCCTCCTCCCCTCGCCGGTGGTAAGGACGGTGCCCTGTTGGGAGCGGTGTCTCCCGTTGCTGCTGCTACGAGTTTGGTGAAGAAGTTGTGTGCAGTGGACGGTGATGCTCCAATGGCCGACGGTGGTCATCATGGTCCACAGCCAGGTGTGCTCAAATCATCAGAGGCTTTGCGCCGGAGTGGTGTGAGTGGGACTGCCCCAGATGGTTTGTTGGATGCTGGTTCACGAGGGGTTGCTGTTGTGTCCGTGGAGGACAGGGGAAAGGGAGCATGGAGGGGTGAATTGGGGAGGAAGGAGTTGGTTCTAGATGCACATCTGCGAGCAAATCCTAGGATGTCTTTGGATGAACGCAGCTTCCCCCTTGGTTACGGAAAGGATGCAGTATTATCGCTGCTTCTTGCTGGAGGTAGTAGCAAGGTGTGCTTGCCATTCAAATCTAGGCCTACTGATGAGTTGGGTGTGTTGGAGGAAGCGGTGGTGGCTACACATGGCTGTATTTCCTCGGTGCAGGGGCATTACATGAAGATTGTTTCTAATGATGGAACAGTACAGGATTATGAACTGGAGGGCGGCGAGATTCCTCCCGAGCTTGTGGTTCAAGAATCTCAAGTTTCTACTGGTGTCGCTCTGCATGAGTCCACAGATGGGCCTTCTGTTCCAGAAATTAATGCTATGGAAACTTTTGCAATGCAGCCTTCTAATGAGAAGACAGGTGGGGATACATTACAGTGTGGGGAGAAGAGATCATCATACCTAGTTGCAAATGATGTCGAGGTGGTGAACAAATCTATCGGGAGTTCAGTCAATGTTGTTTCCGCATCTTTGGCTGAAGATTTGTCCAAACAAAATATGATGGGCAAGAGGGTATCAGAAAGTGCTATGATGAACAGGGTATCTTCTGATGTTACAGCAGGAGTATGTGGCAATGGTACTACGATGAGATGCGTTACTCTGCATGATTCTGCAGCTTGTAGACACGGGGATTCTGTTCCAGAAAATAGTGCTGTGGAAACTTCTGTAATGCAGTCTTCTAATGAGAAAACAGGTGGGAATATATTGCAGTGTGGGGATAAGAAATCATCTTGCTTAGTTACCAAAGATATCGAGGAGACGAACAAATCTATTAGGATTTCATGCACTGCTGTTGCTGGATCTTTGGCAGAAGATTCTTCCAAGCAAAATCTGATGGGTAAGAGAATGTCTGAAAGTGATAGGATGAACAGGACATCTTCTGATGCTGCAGCAGCAGCTTCGGGTAACAGTATTATGATGAGAAGTAAGGTCATGTTTACACCCCGAAAAGTAGTCAAGCGTACCAAAGTGATTCAGAAATCTACACTGGACACTCGGCATAGACCTTGTCCTGAGGACAAGGAGAAGGAGACTGAACTTAGCAGGCGTGGGATCATAAATAGGATTGAGGATACTGATAAGCTTACTAAGGATAGAGTCCTGCAAGCTCCCATGACAAAGGACAAGGAGGCTGCCACAACTAGGGGCTACTTTGGTCCTAGGAAGAGGGTGAAGGTAAAAGTTCCAGCTCATCTTCAGATGAAGATTGCCTCTACATGTGCATTGGGTAGCAAGGTGAAACTGGATGATGAGGTGGCTTCCAGCTTGGAAGATGATGACATATTAAAGGCATTAGTTGTACATGAAGGAAATCTTGAGCTGCTCCTCAATAGCTACTCAGGTCTTACTTCTGCGAGGTGTCCCCAGAATGCAGATGCTAGGAGCAAATTCAAGATGTTGTGTAGAAGGTTTGAATTTGTATGCCGGGCTCTAGTACAAGCTGTGGAGCAGAATTCACTTAAGATTAGAAGAATTGATCTACAAGCTGACAAAGTAATAAGGAAATTACCAGGTTTTACCAAAAGTGGTCCTATTGTTGGACAAGTTCCTGGAGTTCAAGTTGGTGATGAATTTCTATATAGAGTTCAGCTTGCCATTGTTGGTCTACATCTTGCATACCAGGGAGGCATTGACACCACCGTCTATAGAAATGGTGAGCGCATTGCAATAAGCATTGTTGCTTCTGGGGGTTACCCAGATGAATTGTCTTCCTCAGGTGAATTGATATACAGTGGTTCTGGTGGGAAGCCTGCTGGTAAGAAGGATCATGAGGATCAGAAGCTTGAGCGTGGGAATCTTGCACTCAAGAATTGCATCAAGACAGAGACTCCAGTCAGGGTCATTTACGGTTTTAAGGCTCAAAATACCAGGGTAGGCAGTCATTCGAGGGCCAGAGAAGTCTCAACATTCACTTATGATGGGCTATATCGAGTGTTGGATTTCTGGATGGATGGTCAACCAGGTTCAAGGGTTTTTAAGTACAAGCTAAAAAAGATACCTGGGCAACCAGAACTTCCAATGCACATAGCCGAAGGGATGAGGAAGTCCAAAACACGTCCAGGCCTGTGCGAGATTGATATATCTCAAGGGAAGGAGGGAATTCCCATCTGCGTCATTAATACAGTTGATGTGGAGCGACCTGCACCTTTCCGATACACCACTAGAATTAGATATCCATTCGAGCTTACCAAAAAACGCCATCAGGGTTGCGACTGCACTAATGGATGCTCAGACTCTGCGAGCTGCGCATGTGCTGTGAAGAATGGAGGAGAAATCCCATTTAACTTAAATGGCGCAATTGTCAATGAAAAGCCCCTTATCTTTGAGTGTGGCCCATCTTGTAAATGCCCTCCTTCATGCCAGAACAAGGTTAGTCAGCATGGTTTGAAAATACCACTGGAAGTATTCAGGACAACCAAGACAGGCTGGGGCGTAAGATCCCTAAGGTCCATTTCTTCTGGCAGCTTCATATGTGAGTATGTTGGTGAGCTTCTGTATGGCAATGAAGCTGACGAGAGAAGGAACAGAGATTTCTTGTTTGATATAGGCCTTAACCATGGTGATGAGAATTTTTGCAATGGGTTGTTATCAAATGTTTCAGATATAAAGTCTTCTAGCTCTTCCTCGCAGATCCTGGGAGATGTAGGCTTCACAATAGACGCAGCTGAGTCTGGAAATATTGGAAGATTCATCAACCACAGCTGTTCACCTAATCTTTACGCGCAAAATGTTCTTTGGGACCATGATGATTTAAGGATCCCCCATATTATGTTCTTTGCTGCGGAGACAATTCCACCACTGCAGGAGCTGACTTATGACTATAACTATGAAATAGATCATGTCAAAGATGTGAATGGAAGAATAAAATTCAAAATTTGTCAGTGTGGTTCTCCCAGATGCTCTGGAAGGCTCTACTAAGGCATGGCAAATGTAGTTTTCTGAAAACATTGTTTACTTGTATTTTACTTCACCATTACTCTAAGTTGATATGTAGATAATATGATATGTTACTGCCAGAAAGAAGGTAGTAGTCTTAGTTGATGACATGTACTGTAGATAACATGAGATATTACTGCTGGTAAAGAAAATTATTAGTTATGCTCAACCTATTGTCTTGCATTTTCATCTTGATGTATTTAAGTGGTATTGGATGCTTATGCAAACTATGGCACGATTCTGTATGCTGTGTTTTGTTATCAAAATTATGCCCCGTCGACCACAGTTGAATGAAATTAGCATGTGCTGTGAAATTGGCATGTGCTGTGAAGTCGCATTTGCCTTCTTGTCCCATTTGACTGTGGAGGACTGAGGTTCATATGGAGGACCATATGCCTGACATGATCAAACTTTTGCTTTTATCAGTAGCAATCATTTTGTCTCAACTATGCTAACAATAAACTAAGATTACAATCACGCAGGGCAAGGTTTATGCTGCACAATCAAAGAGTGTGAGGTAGTTCTTTGGAAGTCTTGATGAGTGGTCACTCATATGAAATACTTAAACAACCTAGCGGATCTGCAACAGCTTCTGTTTTGTCAGGCACTTCTGCTGAGCTAAGGTAGTTATTGAATAAGCATCTCTCTCCTGTTTGAGTGACTTGCAAATACCTGTTGCTGCTATGAATATTACCTAGTTAAGCTACATAATGTTTGATTTACAATTCCTTTGAATATTTCCTAGTTAAATGACACAATCTTTTGGGGCTCACCGAATTGTTCTTCCAAGAAATTCTATGGCATCCCTTTTAGTAAAATCAGTCCACCAACGCCCTTCTCTTGGATACGGAAATCCAAATGTTGTAAGAAAATAAAGGTCTTCTCTTGGTTACTTTTCGTGAATAGACTCAATACAAGGCACTGGAGCAGAGAAAAGGGTCCAGAGGGCACTGGATCGGATACTGGCAGAGAAGCTGGCCGCCATCAGGAACACAAGAGGACGTGTAACAAAGGGAAGGGAGAGGGGTGCAACAAGGCAAATGCGACTCGCATGCTCGAACCAATTCTTGTAAGGCGGGGAGCAGTGTTTCGTGCCCAGTTGCAAGACTCGCTAAATGCTTTATGTTTTTTGTGCGATCTGACCGAAACAGCGCCGTATCTTGTGCTATCTTGCATAATATGGTGTTTATCTAAGTTTTCCGTCTGTGAGTTGTCAGTTGTGGGAGCTGACATGCTGACTGGAAACGTTGCGATATGGCGCAAGACACGCTCACACGTACCAGTGTACCATATCCACCAGCTTCAGTGTTTATCAAGTTGCGCGTCTATCAATGAACTTAGTAAAGTTCCGTTTGATTCTTGATCCAAACAAATGTTCCCTGCCTATAAGCAACAGTGCCAAAATTTGTTCATCCAATCCTTGGTTCAATATCTTCTTCTGAGGTGAAGTTTTGACATGAAGATAAACTGAATAACCCATGCAAAAGGACCTTTACCAAGTCTGTCAACGAACAAGATGGGTGCTCAATTTGTTCAATTCTGCTACAATATTCCATCAGTTATATACTTGCATGTAAAGGCTTGCAATACCACGAGTCAGTTCTGTGAAAAAACATAGGAGTAACGCTACTACATCATGCTGAGACCCATTTTCTAGTAGCTTGCAGATTCATGTTATTTAATACTTCAACAGACAACAGCATGCTTCATTCTGCCCAAAAGTACAATCATCGCAAAATGGAGGTCCATCCAAACTTCATTAGAAGTTTAAAACACGGTACAAGGGGTGGGAATGTCTTCTACAGGATCGATAGCAATTCTTCAAATCAGATAACAATTTAAACATTCTACAAGTACAACATGAACTGAAGAATAAAAGGGTACAGTGATGGCAAGGCAGAAGTGTTCATCACATAGAGGCTAGAGCTAATAGCTGTCAGTAATGTCTTAGTAGAGCCTGCCCCTGCAATCCGAGGCACCACAGTAGCAATGTTTAACCTTCTCGTTGCCATTCTCGTCATGGACTGAGCCTACCTTATAATTGTAATGGTAGGTCAGCTCCTGCAGTGGTGGGATATTCTCAACAGCAAAAAGCATAATATGCGGCGTCCTCCTCATGTCACCATGGTCCCAGAGAACATTTTGGGCATAGAGGTTTGGTGAACAGCTATGGTTGATAAATCTTCCCACATTGCTGCACTCAGCTCCATCTATTGTGAAGCATTTCATTGTCCCAGAGGATGAGGTAGAAGACTGTACATCAACCACTGATTTAATCCCCTCCCAAAGTTCTTCATCATAGTAGTTTCTACCAATATCAAATAGATATTCGTCATTCTGTCTATTTTCAGCTTCTTCACCATTCAAGAGCTCGCCAGTATACTCGCATATGAAACTGCCCGAAGATATAGAACCGAGGGATCTTACACCCCAACCTGTCTTGCCTGTCTTGAATATTTCAAGTGGAATTTTGACACCATGCTGACTCACCCTATTGTAGCATGTTGACGGGCACCTGAAAGTAAAGTGGTTAGAAATTATTAAGTTAGATTCTTATCCCAGTTTTAAGCTAACTGTCTGGTGTGCATCAATATTTTTGCTTGCTGTCAAGATTTTAACAACTTCAGGAGAATAGCTAAATTTCATAAGCCGATTTTTTATCTACCACAAACACCTGCTGTTCTTCATCTGGATCTAAAACCAACCGTAAGCCTTAATGTAACATATATACATAGAAGTTCCAACAGAATAGGAATATTTCTCCTGGTTTGAAATTTAAATACGGTAACTTCAAAAACACAGTAGAACTAAATAACGACAAATAAATATTTTCAGGTTAACAGTTATTTGGAATACATAAAGTTTTTGCACAGCCATACCTGCACCATGGACCACACTCATATACGAGACGCTTGGCTTTGACGATAGCATTATCGCGATTGAACGGGATTTCCCCTCCATTCTTCCGTGCACAAGCACATCTAATAGGGTCTGAGAAGTGGTTTGTGCAGTTGCAACCCTTTTGAGGTTCCTTTTCACACCAAGTTGGATATGTGACTTCGGTGATGTATTTAAGTGGTGCTAGCCTCATGTCATCAATTGTGTTGATGACACATATGGGTATCCTCTCGCTTCCTTGAGATATATCAGGCAAACAAAGCCCTTCACGAATTTTAGACTTCCTAATTGCCTTGACTGCATGTAGGGTTAATTCTGGTTGCCCTGCAATCCTCTGTAACTTGTACTTGAAGACCATCTCTCCTTTCGGGCCTCTTGCCAACATTCCACCACCTCGTACAATCCATCATATGTAAATGTCGAAGTTTGCTTACCAACTTCAATTCTACTTTCACCTTCGAACCCATGAATCACTCGAACCGGGGTCTTCGTCTCAATGGAATTCTTCAAGGCGAGATTACCCCGCTCAAGCTTTTGATCGCTTCCATCTTTATTGCTCCCAGCCTTCCCTCCAGAGCCAGTGTATATTAGTTCACCTGAGCTTGACAATTCATCAGGATAGCCTCCGGAGGCAATGACACTTATAGCAACAGGAACACCATTCACCTTAGAAGTGTCAATACCTCCTTGATACAAGCGATGCAGACCAACTATTGCTAACTCAATTCTATAATAAAATTCATCGCCAACTTCAACACCAGGAACATTTCCCACAATGGCCCCAAGCTTTGTATAGACAGGGTCTTTCTTTACTGCTTTAGCTGCTTCAAGGTAAATCCGTCCAACTATGGGAATACCTTGTTCCTTAACTTGTTTAAGCTTTCGGTATGTTGCCTGGTACAATTGGAGCAACTTCCTAACTTTGCTTCGAGCATCTATATGGTCCCCAGGTTGCTTGTGGTGTGACCCAGAAGGAACAGACGGAGTGATATCATCCACCACTGCTCGTGGTACCTGTTTCCCTTCACGTGTTGAGCGTTTCCTCTTAATCTTCCAATCAGAAACACTCCTCTGCAAGCTTCCTTCAAGTCTATTTTTCATCTGATCATTCACCACTGCTTTTGCTACCTGTTTCGCTTTACGTTGTGAGCGTTTCCCCTTCCCCTTCCAATTGGAGACACTTAGTGCAGCTTTTGCAACAACATTTCGCTGGTTACCATCTTGTTTGGTACCTAAAGAATCATCTCGAACTTGGACCCTATTCGAGCCTTATTTTGTCCTTCATCCACCATTCTCTTGCATTCCAATGAAATTTTCATCATGATTGATTACCTATATTTAGATGGTGAGAGTTGAGACCGTGAGATACAGCTGCAGATTAAAATTTGTGCAAATCAACTTAAATTTGTGTGGTTTTGCAAAACAAAAACCAAGATACAATGCCTCATCATGGTTCGTTTTGCTTTGCAAGAAGCAGGTTTCCAAACTGATGTATTCTACCATGTGATATATGCCATCATCTAGAAATTAGCCTTAAGAATAAAAAAAAGGGCGTACCCAGTGCAGAGAGCAGCTCCCGCTCTGTGCAGGGTCTGGGGAAGGGTGTCAGTGGCAAGCCTTACCCTCGCCTGTGCAATGCGAGGAGACCGCGACTCGAACCCGGGACCTTCCGGTCACAGGCGGTAAGACTCTACCGCTTGCACCAGGCCTGCCCTTCAGAAATTAGCCTTAAGAATATCAAATATTATTGTATTGTAACTGCCAAGTTTAAGAGACTAGTATTCAGAATACATTATCTTAGAAAAAAAGACCAATAGTTTCTTAACAAGCAAGCAACTCTGACAAACAGTTCTTAACTTCTGAGAAACTGGGTATTCAATATCAAAACTGGCGCAAGTACCTTGCTGATCAGTACCTTGCTCTTATTGCAAGAACTGATCGCAGAGGAATGCTAGTATCTCAAAGTTTGGCAATTTTGTAATGGAAATCAGTTTCTATTAGATCTAGAAAAAATAAAAACAGAAGAACTCAGAAACTCAATGGAGTAGCACATGCAAACTGAACCAAATTTCACAAGCATAGTTGCAAAGGCACTGGGTTTGGCAGGCTGTTGGAGGAAAATACTGTTCATGCTGAAAATACTGTTCATGCTGATTTCTTATGAGAGAAAAACACTGTTCCACCTGAAAAAAGAAGCCGAACAAACCGGAATCTGGGTCAGCCGAACAAGCCCACTGGACTCACAAGTCAGAACAAAGTAAATTTTATGCAAATGCGCAGCAGGATATAGTACTTGATGCCTAGGAAACACATATGCCATCATTCTAGTGCCATTTAAACACCTTGCAGTTTTGATTTAATTTCACTGAACAGGGACCATATTGGCTGTCAACCAGAAAAAATGTTAGGTGGTTGCCAATTTAAGTAGCTGTTCAAGAAATACAAGGAAATAATCCTCATGGAAGTAAACATCTTCATTGGAAAATAGAGTTTTCACTGCCTCCTTTTAAAAACCTTTCATCCTCAAACGTTGCCTGTAAGTTAGAACTTAGAACCACTATCAGTGGTCCCTGATATTGTGCTGAGATTAAAGATAATAGTCTATAATGTCAAAAGGTAATTGGATAAATTGAAACTTACTCTTCAAATTGTCCAAGTCTAATATTCTCAAAATAGTTTCAAGACGGACAGAGAGAGGCTATGATTGTTGACAAATTAATGGCTCTACAGTTGTCCGTGGTCATGCCAGCATTTACAGAAAAATTAATAGCCAGTTGTCCACGGCTCATGCCAGCATTTACAGAAAACGAAGGATCACTACTACTGTTGGATAAGCTAATGCAATGAAATTGTATAACTCCGCCTATGTTGTCTCAACATAGCATGTCCCAAGCCCTGGTAAAGAAGGAGGGTTGTGATACGCGTGACGAGCCAACGTTAAATCTAGCCATTCTAATAGAGATGAAACCCGAAAGAAAACCGTTGGAGCGTAACCCTCTTAGCGACACGCTATATCAGAACCCGGGTATGGTGTTAAATGAGCAAGGGCTGGGTCGTCACCCCCGTGACGCGCCGTGTCGCGATCTGGGCACGGTGTCAAGTAAGCAAGGATCAGGTCGTCGCATTCTTAGTGGCGCGCTACATCGGCGTCCAGGTGTAGTGAAAAATGAGCAAGAGTCTTCACATCTGAGTCGACGGGTACGAAGGGTAAGGAAGCTAATCGAACCAACTAGGATCCGTTTAGTTAGTTGGAATGTAGGGTCACTTACAGGTAAATTAAGAGAATTAATTGATACCGCGACTAGGAGGCGTGTAAATATATTATGCGTCCAAGAGACTAAATGGAATGGTCAGAAGACGAAGGAGGTTGACAATATAGGTTTCAAGCTTTGGTACACAGGGACAGTCGCGAATAGAAATGGAGTAGGAGTTTTAATTGATAAGAGCCTCAAGAATAGTGTGGTGGGAGTGAGAAGGCAAGGAGATAGGATTATCTTAGTCAAGCTTGTCATTGGTGATATGGTCTTGAACGTAATTAGTGCGTATGCCCCCAAGTAGGCCTCGACGAGAGTGCTAAGAGACAGTTCTAGAAAGAGTTAGATGGCTTGATTAGAGCTGTACCTACCAGTGAGAAGCTTTTTATAGGAGATCTTAATGGACATGTAGGTACTACAAACGCAGGTTTCGAGGTAGTTCATGGAGGTTTTGGGTATAGTAGTAGGAATCAAGAGGGGGAGAAAGTTCTGGACTTCGCGGTAGCTTTTGACCTGATATAGCCAACACTTTCTTTATAAAGAGAGAATCTCATCTAGTGACCTTCAGTTGCGGACAACACTCTAGCCAGATTGACTTTATCCTCGCAAGAAGAAAGGACAAACGAGCATGCTTGGGTTGCAAGGTGATACCAGGGGAGTGTGTTGTTTCTCAACATAAGCTCTTGGTGGCAGACTTTCGTTTTTAGGTGTGTGTCTGTAGGGATAAACAAGCTAAGATTGAAAGAACAAAGTGGTGAAAACTAAAAGGGAAGACGTCAGAGGTATTCAGTGAAAGGGTTATTAAAGAGGGCTCTTGGAAGAAAGAAGATGGCATAAACAACATGTGGAAGAAGATGTCAACCAACATTCGGAAGGTGGCCTCAGAGGTGTGTGGAGTAACCAAAAGAAGTGGAGGCGAGGTTAAAGATACTTGGTAGTGGAACGAGGAAGTCCAAATGGCTATTAAGGAGAAGAAAGAATGTTATAGACGCTTGTACCATGACAGGAGTGTGGACAACATAGAGAAGTACAAGGTGACAAAGAAGACTGCAAAGTGAGCTGAAAGTGTGGCAAAGGGTAGAGCATACGAGGATCTTTACCAACATTTGGGTACAAAGAAAGAAGAGAAGGACATTTATAGGATGGCTAGGGTTCGTGAGAGAAAGACAAGGGACTTCAACCAAGTTAAGTGCATTAAGGATGAAAGGGAGCATCTCTTAGTGAAGGAGGATGAATCCAACATCGATGGCAAGAGTATTTTGACAAATTGTTCAATGGTGAGAATACAGACATAACCTTTTAGTTGGATGACTCTTTTAATGACACCAATAGACGCTTTGTGCGGAGAATCAAGAATCTAAGGTCAGAGAGGCGTTGAAAATGATGAAAGAAGGTAAGGCGATGGGACCGGATAGTATCCCAATCGAGGTGTGGAGATGCCTTAGGAACATAGCTATAGTATGGCTAACCAAGCTGTTTAACCATATTTTTCGATCGAACAAGATGCCTGACGAGTGGAGGAGAAGTATATTGGTACCGATATACAAGAATAAAGGGGATATTCAAAGTTGTACTAATTACCGGGGAATTAAGTTGATGAGCCATACTATAAAGCTATGGGAGAGAGTTATCGAGCATCGCTTGAGAGCAATAACGTGGGTCTCTATGAACCAATTTGGTTTCATGCCCGGAAGGTCAACCATGGAAGCCATTTTCTTAATAAGACAAGTTATGGAGCGGTATAGGGAGAAGAAGGACCTACACATGATTTTTATTGACTTGGAGAAGGCTTATGATAAAATACCAAGGAATATTATGTGGTGGGCTTTGGACAAACATAAAGTACCAACGAAGTACGTCGGACTCATTAAGGATATGTACAACAATATTATGACTAGTGTTCGAACAAGTGATGGAGACACGGATGACTTTCCAATTAGGATAGGACTACATCAAGGGTCAGCTTTGAGCCCTTATCTGTTTACCTTAGTGATGGATGAGGTCACAAGGGACATACAAGGGGACATCCCTTGGTGTATGCTTTTCGCGGACGATGTAGTGCTAGTTGATGAAAGTCGGACAGGAGTGAATCAGAAACTAGAGTTGTGGTGGGAGACTTTGGAGTCCAAAAGTTTTAGACTCAGTAGAACTAAAACCGAGTATATGAGATATGACTTCGGCACTACTACCCGGAAGGAGGAAGATATTCGTTTGGAAGGTCAAGTAGTGCCTAGAAAGGATACCTTTCGATATTTAGGATCAATGCTACAGAGCGATGGGGATATTGGTGAAGATGTTAGCCATAGAATCAAAGCAGGGTGGATGAAGTGGCACCAAGCATCTGGTGTCCTATGTGACAAAAGGGTACCACAGAAGCTAAAAGGCAAGTTTTATAGGACGGCGATTAGACCTACTATGTTGTATGGTGCAGAATGTTGGCCTACGAAAAGACGACATGTTCAATAGATAAGTGTCACGAAAATGCGTATGTTGCATTGGATTTGCGGTCATACAAGAAGGGATCAAGTTCGGAACGATGATATACGTGATAGATTAGGGGTAGCACCAATTGAAGAAAAACTTGTCTAACACCGGTTGAGATGGTTTGGACATGTCCAACGGAGACCTCTAGAGACACCGATGCGTAGTGGAATCCTAAGCCAGGATAGTAACGTGAAGAGAGACAGAGAAAGACCGAAGTTGACTTGGGTAGAGGCAATAAAAGGAGACTTGAAAGGATGAAATATACTCAAAGACTTAGCCTTGGATAGGAGTGCTTAGAAAATAGCTATTCATGTGCCTGAACCTTGATTGCTTCTGCTAGGTTTCAACTCTAGCCTATCCCAA